AGGTAGACCAATACGAACGGCAGTCTTTCGCACATCCTCTCCATCTATAGCTAATAGCTAAATCAATCAATCAGTCAATCTGACTCCATGTTTGTGCCGAAGAGGGGTTGCGCCAGGTGGCGAGGTGACGCTTAGTGTCTGAAGTTCGTGCTAACGAGGACCGTGTTCTGGGTATATGCTAAGAAGTCTATTCCCATTATCTGGACAGCCATCAAGGCCATGACGGCCATCAAAGTGGGTTTCATCGGGTGTCAGATGACCAACGCGTGCATTTAGGTCTCCGACCAGGATCACGATATCCGTATTAGGTGCTTGGAGAAGCTGATGTAGGCTAGGATAGAAGGCGTCCTTGACTGTATCCGGGCTACAATCTGTGGGAGCGTATGCAGAAACCACGTATAAGCGTCGTTCATTTGGTTTCTGCTTTTTGACCCTACTTGAGCCTCTGAGTCTCGCTGCGCATAGTCGGCTATTTATCGGGATCCAAACCAATAGACCAACCTCGGACCTGGAGCTCAAGGCAATACCGACGCCTGCTTGACCAGACGCTGAAGATATAGGGTCGACGGAGATGCGCAGTTGAAACGCTTCTTTCGGGTTGGGAGGAGACATTAATCGGATCACTGAGCTCGGATCCTGGATGCGTGTTTCTGAGAGGCAACACTCATCAATCTCTAGACTTTCGAGCGTACGAGCCAAACCTGCTTGTCGTCCTGTACGCGTTAGCGTTCTTACGTTGAAGGAAGCCAGTTGGAAGGCAGAGTGAGGTCAGAGGAATAGAACGATCGGCCCGAGACAGATATCAAGGAGGATAGCGGCGAGCTACAACATGAACCTACGTCAGTGGAACCGTTCGGAGTGAGACAAACAGTGGCTTAGTTGTCGCATTGTGATGCGGATTTCAATGTCATAAAAAAACAGTTGGTGCAGAGGGGCACAGTTTGATGGCAAATTATTAGACTTTCCACACCAAACACATCCGAGGCAGTTAGGGTCAACACCACAGCGATCCCGTAATTGCCATTTCAAGTCCCGAAACTCAGGTTACCAATTAGCATGAGAGTAAGTCCCGACTTGATCAACATCACTTGGTTTGTTTATCCTCAGCCCGCTGATGTGTCGACGTAACATGTATTTAGTGTTCAAGTGGAGTGAGTCGTCACTGGCGTAGGCCCAAAGATAGGAATTTCGAATCCTGACACCATTCAACCTATCGACACATTTAAGGTCTCGATTGTTTTAGTGGGGTCTTACGTAGTTCGGCGCTCGAAGTCCCAGGGCCTGGGTTCGCATAAACGACGGGGTTCTCTCGTGGAGTTAATCGATCTTTAATGTTCTTTAATGATGAATGGTAAGAAAGATGACCCGAATGCGCGATGCCATCGTTTTGAGAATAATTCAGTGAGCACAATTGCAAGACTGGTAGCGTCTGAAAACCCACTTGATTTATTCAGTCTACGCGCCCGGTAAAATAATCGGATTGCAGACACCAGGAGTCGGCGACCAAGGCCGGGTAACGAAAAACAAGGACAATCATTTTAGTGGAAATATTCCGCCAACAAGCAAATCATACGCTGTTTTCTGTTGAGTCGCGATTCGCATCCTGGTTTCGAATTGCGAAACAATATTAATTATAATAACAATAATATCAATAGTATAATAGAGTAGCGATGATCAACTCAGGAGACTCAGCATTCAACATGTAAAAGATATTGCCTGTCTAATAAAATTGTACGAAAAAAACGAAAACTACCAACAGCGTGCATTGAAGCTTAACTGGGGCATTTAAATGAGCGAATGAGGACAGTGCAGACAGAACAGTTCAAAGGACGATTACCTGAGCTCCTACAATTCCATTTCCCCCGAAAAAGTCTTTGTAAAACATATGCATACTGCCACCTTTACCAGCTGAAATACCAGTCCGCTTCCCGGCAAGCTCCGCTAGGACTGCATGCACAGAGACACCGCGAGTCATCGTAAACCCATGGCAACGATAGGCTGTGATGATTGTATCCCCAGGACTCAATGAGGCTTCGATACCAACCGCAACCGCCTCCTGTGAAATAAACAAAAAATTATTTAGAAATACCTTACAACGAAACCAACGAGAATTTAACGAATCAAAAGCCATGTTTCGTAATTTATGTAGAACGACAGCAAAGCCATTGATGTTATGGTTTACTAGGTATTTGACCCTAAA